CCAGAGATGCTCCAGGTGGCATGACAGTAGAAGCACTGAAGGGGAGGGGAGAGGCACTGTTCAAAAAGGGTGAGGCTTTCCCAGGCTACTTCTCTCGCAGTCAGGCAACCGGCTCTACACTCTTCCTACCACTTTCCAGGCCAGAGAACATGGGATTCCTCACTGGAGGAACTGCAGACTTCACAGAAAAGATCTTCAGAGACTGATATTGGGGGATTTCCATCAAAGGAGACATTTCCTTGACTGATCACTCTCCAAAGAAGCCCACCAGTTGGCAAGCTTCCTTCATGCACCTGGGAGAGGTATAAAAGGTATAGGCACACTATTTTGCTTGTTTCTTTCAATGTAAGTTTTCTTTCTGAAGAGAGGCATATTTTACATTTCATTCCCTGTCCACATCCAACGTTCTGAAGAGAAACACCAAATTTCTGTATTACAACACTGGTCAGAAATTCATATGATAGCAATTAGTCATGACTTAACCCTTTCACCCAACACTGTGAACAAAATAACCAAGATAGGCCGGGTGTGGTGGCTCACGCCTGTAATCCCAGCACTTAAAGAGGCCAAGGTGGGTGGATCACGAGGTCAGGAGTTTGATACCAGCCTGGCCAACATGGTGAAATCCAGTTTTTACTAAAAATACAAAAAGTTAGCTAGGTGTGTAATCCCAGCTACTTGGGAGGCTGAGGCAGGAGACTTGCTTGAACCCAAGAGGTGGAGGTTGCACTGAGCCGAGATCCCACCACTGCACTCCAGCCTAGGTGACAGTGAAAGATTCCGTCTCAAAAAAACAAACAAACAAACAAAAAAAACAAACTATCTCTAGACCCATTTTTCTAGTGAAGTTATCCTTTTAACCATATGATATAATTTGTAGCCACAATTTAAAAGAACTCTGGCATTTCACTCTTTATTTTATTTCAGTAAATACTTTTTCTTTAAAATTCAATCATATATTGAGTATGTACCTACGTTAGGCCCAGTGATAGAAATAGTAGATATTTTTATATGTAACTTATTAAATATACTGGATATATTAAAATATTTGCTTATATTAAAAATAGAGAAAATTAACTTTGTGACATTGAAAACATTTACCAATGTAAAAAAGAGACACCCTGTGTGTATTTTTATAAAAGATAAAATGGGGTGAGAATAGGATTGCAAAGGAACAGAAGTAGTGAACAAATTAGAAGAAAAGATGATTAGGTTTGCTATCAATTAATATTTGCTAATTAATGTAATAAGCTTGGAATTATTTAAGGAACACTTTTCTAGGTCACCTTTATTATTGTCGTGAAAGATAAAATCATTTTCTTTAAGATAAAAACATTGACTGCACTAAAGACTCATCATTTGCAATGCAATAGTGTCCAAAATCTCATGTTCACTGATGTCAAGATTATGTCTACAAATTAAGAAAATTTCAAGTTGAAATAAATATTCTAAACCAAAGACATCTGATGTTAGGAGCAAATACATTTTCATTCTGATCCAGGGGGTAGTTTCATGTTTTCTTTTGTTTTTCTTTTTTTGTCTGGGAGTTCTTGGGAACGCTCCTTATTCATTGTGGCTGAATTTTTTCAACGAGAGCGTTGAATACTACGAAGGACTGTATCAGTTATAAATCAACAGTCAACAATTTTACTAAGCAGTAAAAACCATCCATTTAAACTGAATTACAGTAGGAAAATATATTTGTAAAGAAGGCTTAGAAAAAAATAAAATAACAATAAACTAGAATGAGATTATTTCAAGCATATATTTTCTACCTATTCTTAGGTAAAGTTTTAAAAATTGAATGGATTCTAATCCTCTTATCCCTATCACCAGAAAATGACTGACCTACAGCATGCTTTAGTATCTTTTCTTCACAATAAGAGAATAATATTTTAATAATGACACAGAGTAATTGCTAAACGGGCTTGTTGGGACAATTACTCTATTTCCACAAAGATGCCAAGCAGCCTGCATGGCCTGGGGCATTATATAAAGATGAGCTAGCCATTCAAGTAGAATGTAGCTCTGCAAGACTGCAATCTTACTTACTAGCCCTTCAAGTAGAATGTAGCTCTGCAAGGCTGCAATAGCACTTACATTGAAGGATCCATCAAGGGGCCAAGGGCTATTTCCCAAAGTCTAACATGTGGATTGGAAAAATAAGGAATATTCATCTGAAACCATATTGTGTTTGTGTTTGGATGTCACTAAACACTCTGCCAAACTTTGGCTGGGTGTGGTGGCTCATGCCTGTAATCTCAGCACTTTGGGGGGACGAAGTGGGAGGATCACCAGAGGTCAGGAGTTCAAGACCAGCC